AAGACTTTTTGGCTGGATATAAGATTTTAAAACTTGGTTAGGTGGAGAGTTTTTGCAGTGAAACTCTGTCAGATGTTCTTTGGTCATAAACTGATCTGTTCACACATGTTCTGTGCTCAGATGGGTCTACAGTTTAGTTTTCTTGAAGGGGAATGTTTGGTCTTAGGTGCCAACGCTGAGTAATACCATCCAGGCTGGAATCAGCTAAACATGCAACGGTGGTGCAGTGGGAGGACTGTTGTTTTGGGACCAGAAAGTCACAGGTTTGATTCCCTGACATGCTCACACTTTGCAATGTCCTTGAGCATAACACATAATCCCTAAGTGCTCCCTAGGTGCTTAACTAGCTGTCCACTTGTGTGTATATTACGCATGTGATGGGTTAAATGCAGAGGACAAATTTTGTCATAGTGTGCATATGCAAGGTATTCCACCAGGACAGTACCGGGCCTCAAACTGACAACTTAGTGCATCTTAGTGTGTGTATGTGTGTGTGTTTTACTGGTCTTCCTAGATCTGTTTCCTGTTAAACAATGTGTGGCACATCTGAAGCAGATGATGACGACCTTGAACTGCTGAGCAGCTGAAACTTTGTATTCATCAGGAATAGAGTCGATAGGGTTCTCTGGTGAAAAAAAAAATCACATGGATTATATTTCTTGTTCCTTTTATTTTAAAATATAGTAAATATAAGGTAAAGTTGTTTCTTTTTCTGTTTGTTTGCAAGAAAGTCTACAGAGCTGTACTTAAAACTAACAAATGCTCAGCAAAGATATTCAAAGTACACTTAGTTCTTCTGTCTTTTAGATAATGGTTCAAACAAATCCAATTTGGATTTCTATTTTAGAGACTTTAATAAATATTATACATTTAAGGTTAGCATGTAAACAGAATCAAGTGTTAGAATATTCTCATTAAAATCTTTCCTATCACTTACTGTGAAGAACCCAGTGCCCCTAATTGACAGCCGCGAATTGGTCATGTTAGGTCAGAAAACAAAAAGAATGACAATATGACATTGTGCACTCATTATCTGCCCCATTCTCCTTTTCATTGTGGAAACACGCAGAATGTACATGAGCCAATGGAAGTGTGTGCATGTGTTTGTGTGGTCGGCAGTGAAAAGCCGCGGCGGGATCAGAGACGTCTGACAGTGGTAACAACAGCTCGAGCTCAAACGCTAATTGACTAATTTAGTTCACTCGTTTTGACAAAAATAAGAGGCGTTTTGTTCGCGCTGACTGGACGTTTGTTTATTGTAAATAACTGGCCGACTGATGAGGTTGGCAGTCCCGTCTTAATGGGCTGCGAGTCTGTCTGTTACGGCAGCTGCACAAAGGTGGATGTAACAGATTTTTTTTATTTACTTTACTAGAATATCTGCCTTTTTACTTAAAAGACTCAGCAACAGGATGAATATGAGTTTGCACCATGACTACCAGTGAACATGTCTGATTTAAAACACAGAGCTTCTAATCCAATTACTGGTCTTAGTTACGTGCAACCAGAGGATTGTAAAACACTACTTCAGTTACATATTCAGGACATGTTAAAGTAATCATGGGTCTTTCTTGCATTGATTGTTATGAGCAATGTGTGTGACACAAAACTTTTGCACTCAAGGGTCTTTAAGGGGGACATGTGAAAAATCCACTTTTTTATCCATTAAATATATTTTGTTGTGCACTTGGAGTCTGTAGGGGTGCAGATAATTAGAATTTAGTCTCTCCCAGTTCTGTAAAAATATCTTTATGTTTTGTTCGAGTCATGTTTTTCTACCAGTTCAGTCTTCTTTATTATATATTACATCAAATTCTTTGCTACAGAACTTCTAAATAAGGTCTGGACTTGCATCGTATTCATTCTCCTCTGGGTCAGACTCTGGCTCTAACATGTAAGGATGGATGGGCAAGTCTTCCCTTGTTGACAATATTTTAATTAATTAGTAAATAAAATGTTTCTAAGCCGTTATATAGTCATAAACCCCTCTATCAAACTAGAATGGACCGGTCTGGAAGCTGGAAGAGGGCGGGGTGTGAAGCGCCTCGTTTGGATCTAAAGAGACAGCCTCAAAACGAGTTGATCTGAGACACACATCAGAAAGGAGTTGAAAGAGGGGATTGTGGAGTTACAATAAGGAGGAATTCAGACCAAACCATTGCAGTTCCACTTTATATAGACAAAACTGAATGATTTAAAGGGCCAATATTATGTGTTTCTCAGGCATGTATTTAAATACTATACCATAATAAAGTAATAATAATATAATAATAGAGTATCTATATCACCAGTAGCTGTTATTAAAATGCTGTTTTTATGTTTAAATAGAAAATAAACATCTTCTTGTCAAACGCCTTGAAATTGGCCTCTGTCTCTTTAAGAACCATCTTCCACTTCCGTTTTGCCCATCTCAGTGCCGTGGGGGGCTTTCATGATCCAGTTTACTTGGCATCTGAAAATACATTTCCTCAAAGGTATATTTAATCTGAAAAGACCTTCACTGAGTAAGCAGTAATGTTGAGAGCTCAGCAGACAGTTAGGTTTCACTTTCACCTGAGAGCCTGCAGGAGTCATGGGCGGGGTGTGTGGGGAGGTGGAAGGGGGTGTGCTCTGCCATGAGCACTCTAAAAATGAAATGTTGGATTTACTTAACCATGTTATGTTACCTGGTTCCACTTAACTGAGTTGAGTAAATTCAAAGCAACATAAAAAAGAAAAAAATTGTATAGGTCTTCTGGACGGGTTCTTCTCTAATGAAACGTTTCGTCTCTCTTCCAAGAGACTTCTTCAGTCTGAGAGTTTCAAGCAAAATTCAGGCTTTTAAGCACTGCCTCCATGTGACTGATACTCACATCACATGGCTATTGTTGACACCTAATTAACACCTATTGTTAACAGGGGGTGGAGTGATACTGGCAATAGCAGCGCTGTAGGAGGGGGACAACTGAAAACGGAGGCCTCCACCTCTGTTTAATGATGGACGGTCAAAGCAACATACTCATGTTCTTTGGCTAAAAAACTGGTATATTGCTTTGAATTTACTCAACTCAGTTAAGTGGAACCAGGTCACATAACATGTTTAGTAAATACAACATTTCATTTTTTACAGTGAGGAAGTTTGGCTTAAAGACACGTCCCAGGGGTGTTTCTGGTCCCAAAAGGCGTTTCTGGTCCCCACCTGTCATTTTGCTCCTCAGCATGGCTTCCTAAAAACGCTGCAGGATTTCTCAAACATGCACGAATGAGTCAGAGCAAGGCTTTGGGCATGTTGTTTTTAAGAGAGTATAACATTATAACATGATATAAAACTCAAAAAAGTTGATTTTACATGATATTGCCCCTTTAAATGTGAAAAAGGAGGATTTAAAAGCGTGATGTCTCCTTTAATTTTTAAAACCTTTTCTAAAAGCTTTTGCTTTTGCTTCAATGTTGAGACAGAAAAAAAATTGTAGTACTGTAACAGTATTAATTTCCTCAGCACAGACATTTTTGGACCTTTTGTTGAGCACAGTTTTGGTGTATTTGAGTAATTTGCATTAGACATATGTAGAATATAACGACCATTATTGATCATTTTTTATCATCTGATGCATTTATTGTTTTGATCACTACGTGCTATAAATGCAGAGATTATCAAATACATATTTGAACTTGTTCCAGGGTTTAACAAGTAACTTTGCAGTGGTTTAAAATCATATCATGTGCATTCAATCACCAGAAAAACTGGCAATAATTAATATTTGCCACTTTGCAATCACTATAATTAGTGCCATATGATCTATTTTTATGTGTGACAGCATCACTACCAGCCAGGTGTGCATGTGAGCCCAATGTTGGAAGGCAGCGCAGAGCAACTAATGCTAACCTTAAACACCTTAAACACCTTGAACACCAATATAAACCAGAGTATGAGGAAAGCCAGAAAAGGTGGATCAAGGCCACAACACTGGCCCCATGCAAATGCAACTGTCTTCTATTAATCATCATGTTAATTGTTATCGGCTAAATGCCACAATTAATAACAATTTTTTTGCCAACATCATCCAACCCTAGTTTAAACTTCAACACTACTGCTTGGGCTGTGTATTGGCAAGAATTTGGCGATACGATACATATCATAACAGAGGGGTCACGATACGAAATATCCCGATATATTGCGATACTGTAAGCAAGGCAATATATTGTGATATATTGCGATTTTTTTCGTCCAAAAATTCTATTAAATAAAAACCTCTCACTGAAAAAAAAAAAAGAAAAGCTAATGTTTACTTACAATGCTAACGCTACCCTTACTCTCTGGCTCTCAAGAGGTAGAGGAGCCAAATGGCTGGCTCACTGCTGACAATTAGTGGTCAGAGGCTGAACTACAACATAAAAATGAACGGTTGGCAAGAAGGTTAACATTTTAAACCTTAATTAAAAATCGATACAGGGCTTTAGAATATCGATACAGTATCGGGAAATGAAATATCGCGATATTTCAGTGTATCAATATTTTCTTACACCCCTAACTGCTGCAATAAAAAGTTAGCAGTCTTCAAATCAATCAATTGTTAAAAAGATAACAGTGGACATGTTGCTCATTAAAATGTGCAAAACTGTCCCTAAAGCTTAAAGAAGAGAGAAGATTAGTTAGGTCTTCTAACCACAGGACAACTTTGTCTTTTGTTCATCATTTTGATAACTTAATTAGCAAATAGGTTTGGCTAAATTTAACCACAACCAATAGAAACCTGTATGAAGTTCCAAACATAAGTTAAAAGCCATTAATCACATTAATTGTCTAATTAAGTGGGTGGGCTATATAAAACATTTGCTCTAATTACACAATAACAAACAAGTGTGGAAAATAAATCATTTACTAATTCAAAATCCTTGGAGAGAGTCTACTTTTTTTTCCCATTTGCATGCAACCCAAATTCATTATTTATTCCAGAGGATGAATAAATTGTCTCCGTGTAGCCTGCGATTGAACTTGAGCTAGTGAGAAATTCAGCCTGTGCACACGTATCCCAGTGAGATGGTTTCTAATGAAAATAACAAAAAAACGAGAAAGAGAGAGAGAGAAGGCGCAGACTATAATGATTGTATTTGGGTTACGAACGAAAACAGAGAAAATGATGAGAAACGCGGCTCGGTACTGACAGAAAAATGGAGTGGGTTGATTTTAGAAAACATTAGGAGATTATCACTTCTTCAATCGTCTTTCAGGACAATGTAAAGTTACTTTGAGCTATAGTTTATTAAAAAAAATTTCTGTGCTATTTGCAAGTTATTGCAGTTAAGTGATTCTGTCTATTCTGTTAACTTAATCCTAGAAAACCCAGAGACAGTTTAACCCTCCTGCTGCCCTTGGGTCATCAGCAGGGAGTGAGAGTCAGGGGTAAAAGCAAAGGGGTATGAAAGAAAAGAGTGAAGGGGATATGTGAATAAAGATTAAAGCTGATTTGTCTCTCATTTCCACTTTAACTAGGTTTTCCCAGAGCGTTGAATAGCTGTGCTTGTCTGCATCCGAGTGTGTGTTTCTGTGTGTGTGTGTGTGTGTGTGTGTGTGTGTGTGTGTGTATGCTGGGTGGTCACGAAGATCTGGGATCTCGTCTCTCTCCGCCTTCCAGGGAGAGGACTAGAAAAAGCACACGCAGAGAGAGGAGCCGGGACAACACATGAACAGTAGAGAGCTGTCAAGCTTGCGAGGAGGCAGCGGAGAGACGACTCAGTCTTTTTCTTGGAATACATTCTCCTCTTCATCTCTGAAGCCCACACACACACACACACACACTCACACACACTCACAAACACATAAAAAAATCAACAACAACTCACAAACAGACTGTGGAGTGTTTGTGTGGGAGCCGCTCTCAGAAGAGGCAGTGAATTATTGGATGGATTTGGACTTGCTCAAGGCGAACACACTTGGACCGTTGAGCTTTGAACATCTCGCCGACTTGGACTTTACTCTGTACGAGACGTCAAACTTTTGGTTTGATTATTGCGAAACGTTTTAAAAGCTGTAGGACTCAACCTGGATTTGAGGCGCATCAACTGACCGAGTCCAACAGGTTAGAAGTCGGTGTGTGCGATGAGGAGGAAGATGTTCTGGCTGGCGACGGTGGTCCTGTTTGCCCACTTCGGAGCCACTTTGACAGGAGCTTGGAGAGCATCTCAGCCAAGATTACAGTTCACGTACTCTGGTAAGAGGCACCATGTGCTTTCTGTGTCTCACTTCTATCTCATCTGTTGCTCTGTTTCTCTCCACCTCCACATGCAGGTGGAGGGAATCACACTCTCCTTTCTTTTTTTATTCTTCTAATGGCCACACACTGCATGCAGTACATTATTGCTTATTTGCCTCTATTTTAGTTTCTTCCCATTATCACTAAAATCACTTTTCCTGGATCAGTCATAGCTGTCTTGGTGTGAAAATGCTTCTTCATCCCCTCACCTCTCCCTGGAGGGTCTTCTCAAAACCTATGCTGCCTTTTTTTTATAATGAGAATCTAAAATGTTGAAAATATAAAGACAGTTTGGAGAGAATGAGCCTGCTGTGATTAAAACAGCATCAGAGTTGTCTTAGTGAAACTTGCAGATGAGAAACATCAATGTGCCGGACAGATCAAAGACTGAACTAATGCTGTAAAAATCCAATATATTAGCCAGAACCTCTTAAAAACTGAGTTATTAGCCATTAGAATGTAAGTCGAGCTGAAACATTTCAGATAATTCTGACTTATTTCAGCAGATTAAAAGCTCCAAGAAAATTGAGGAGAGATGATTACTGCTGACAGTTTGTGTGATTATTTGGTTGTTTTTTTTTTATAACCTGGCTTTGTTTTAGGGTTGGGCAATATTGGCAAAAAAAATTAATCACAATTAATTGTGGTTTTTAGCCGATAACGATTAATTTGACGATTAATCCTCTGGAGTCCCTGGACACCTTTATGTCCTCACATGACCAATTCAGTGGGAAAAATTTGCTCTTCATAAAAATCTGTTCCAAATTGTGTCAAAATTACAGACTTCAGGCCATACATCACATTTAAATTGTGTTGATAAATAAATAAATTACAGAAATATTTGTCATATTTGAATTGGAGAGGAGCACCGAGCGGACTCTGCCTGGTGGCATTAATCGTATTAATCGTCAAGTGCCAAAAAATAATCAATTAATGTTTTTCTGATGATTAATTGCACACGATACGATTATGCCCAACCCTACTTTGTTTGAATGCTATCAGATCTGCTACATGTTTGTTTTGTTCTGTTTAAATGTTTTTTTGTTATAGTTTTATATTCAGTGGGAGTTACAAACTTTTACGATTTTTCAGAACATCTTTGTAAGAAAGCTGTTTCATTTATAGTGAAATTGGTTTCAACATGAACGCTTAAGACCTTATAGTGGCACCGTTTTATTGCTTTTAAATTGATTTCCTCTAGGTCTTGTGCCAACCTATCTGCGACCTTTTTGGCAATTAATCTTCTCAACCAAAGACATCCTCTGTGTCATAAATTGACTCACTGTCAGCCCAAGCCCCTCTCCATCATGGTTTGGAAGTGTCTGTGTCTGTTAGTGTCAGATATGGCTCACAAAGAAATAATTATCAGATGGCAGAAATCCCAGAGCCAGATCCCACCTAATTAATTCATTGTTTGGCCCTGATCCGGTCTCTTTGCTGTGGTGAGACCCATGCTGGAAAAAAAAAAAAAAAAAACTGGAGATGGATACATCAGAGGGTTGTCATAAAACAGGGAAAGAATAGCTGTAACGTTTGCATCCGTAAACTATTCATCAGCCTGCATGTGCTGAACCTGAGCTTAGACTGCCAATAATAGGTTGATGTATCGATTCAGACTATTTAAGGTTAGGTGTGGTGCTGTATCAGCTGTCAATAGTTCATCTGTGTGTGCTGGTTTTTGTGGGAGCAGCAGACTGGGCTTGCCTCACTGGAGAATAGGAGGATTTCAGTATGATGCATGTGTGACAGAGGGTGTTTGTGCTGCTCTTGGAATCATCCTGAAGGGTTTTGCTCCACCAAAAAGGCTCGGATTGAACACTTTAACCCATGTGGGGAGTTCTGTTGTTTGCGTCTAACAAACGTGATGCTCACAAGTAATGAGAAAGCCAGAGATCTGCTTCTTGTAATTAAAACAGGATTTGGGATTTGGTCATTTGCCCTCTTTGGTCTATTTATGGTGAATAGCCAAAGTAAAAATGGATTTTTTTCCCCCCAGTAAACCCAACTTCCTTTAATCATGTTTACCAGAGCCACTGTAGAGTGAGAAAACAACAGATTACATCTCCTTGCATAAGCTGCAACTCAAAGAAACCTTTGCTGCAGATAACAGGAGGCTGGAGTCAACGAAATATGACCCAGAAAGGACAGAAAGTGAGAGATTTTTTTAAAAATTAAATGTCTCTTATGAGAGCACTGAATGTGAAAACGTGAAAAACAACTGAGACACACGTGCCAATATGTCCCACGAGTGTTGTGATGTTAGTGCATTTAAGGGGTTTGTATGTTTATGTACATGTTCAGAGTTGTTTTAAGATAAAAGCTGTTGTGTGACGCTACAAACAGACCTGCTTCAGTTTCAAGTTTCAGGTCCACTTTTTGGGTGTTCTGCTGAGGCAAACCTGATGAAAGAAGTGTGATTGTTAGAAAAAAAAAGGATTGTGATGTCCACTACTGTTCTCTCTCTCTTTCTGTTTACTTAAGGTCTTTCTTTCTCTCTGTGGGAGCTCTAATGTGTGGTCACTTCCCTTCTCATCACTCCAGAGCTTTTACCCATAGGGTGGAGACTTTTTTTTTAAAGAATGGAATTACTGTAATTAGAAAAGGATTTCAGCTCCACTTAAACACTTTGACTTTACAGTGTTTGACAGTTCAGACACTAAACATTTTGTTTTCTGTGATCGCCGAAACATACGATAGAAGACTAACTGAGAAAAAAAATGAAACAAAACAACAGAGTCTGACATTTAAATGATGTGTTTCAATGCATCGGTGAAAAACAATTAGTTTCCTTAAAGGTTTGTGAAGCAGAAACTAAGCACAGCCCCGTGTTTTGACTGGGAGCTGTAAAGAGGAAAATAAGGAAATGAGCTGACATTAAAATAACTGCAAAGATTTAAAAAAGAAACTAAAGGTTAATAAACGGGCTAACCAAAATGACTTTTCTTTGAGATTAATAAACCTTGTAATCATCTGCATTGCATTTAAAAAAGGATAAAGTCAAAAAAGAAACAAGTGCTGATGTTATCACTTTACAAATTACTTTTAAAGAACTTTAGTGGTAAACAGGTAGGATAAAACGTTAATGTTTTACACATTGCTTATCCTCTTTTAAACGTGAAATATTACTAAGACCAAAATACTAAACAAGCAAAGATTTGACACGGGTCACTCAAAGGAAAATGTCACTTTACCACAGATTGTCATCAACACAATATGGGTTAAAACTTTTCAAGCGAGATCATTGTGTACAATTTTCTAGACAGTTGTAGATTGTGCATTTTCACTATTTCTCTTTTCATTTGTTTTTGTGATAACTAGGGGGGTTTAGAGATTACACATCCAAAACACTCAATAATATGTTTTGTAGGCAGGAAGTAGAACCTATTAATGTCAGTAAAATTAGATTTAATATGGCAACCATAATCAGACTGACTGACCATAGAACTTCATATGTCCAGACCCCCCCCCCCCCCCCCCCCCCCACACACACACACATACACCCCACAAAAATACTTAAGTATATGCTTGATTACCTCAGAGACCTCCCACCTGTCTCCTAATGACTAAATTATTCCGGTTATTCACTTAAACTTCTAGACTAACACACACACACACACACACACACACACACACACACACACACACACACACACAGATGGTGGACAGGGGTCCCTGCCGGCCAGCCTGTCTGTCTGGTGATGGGGTGTTGTTGTTTTTGTGTGCTCTCAGCCACACATGATTAGCTAGACAAACACACACACACACACACACACACACACACACACACACACACACACACACACACACACA